CAAGTAACATGAAACACAAAGCCTGGAATCTCATACAGGTACTGAATAATAACACAAAGCGAGATAAAAACAAAGGCACAAAACGCTGTACAAGGAAACAAGAAAATGCAAACTATACAACAATTATACACAAAAATAAACATAAAGGAAAACACATGGAAAAAATAAAAACATAAAAACAAAAAACAGAAAAACAGGAAAACAGTACACAGTCTTTTAACAACAAACATGGGACAATGAACAAAGAAAATGACAGGAACAACAAAAACATAAATACAGGACAACAAACAGAATATCCAAAATCAGTAGGATAAGGAAACAAAACGAAGCATATAAACACAAAACCGAAACACACAGGTACCGGGAGTCGGAATAAACAGACACGGGACAGGAAGCGTACGACAAATAAGACAGGTGGAAAATACATGACACAATAAATAAGAAAAGCACAGAGCCACTCGCAGACACACATCATAACACCAGAACGTGCAGGAACCTGAAACACTGGCCACACACACACACGCACCTAAGCCCACAAACAAAAAACACCGGAACACGCAGGAACCGGGAACAAACATCCAAACAACACATACACACAATGACACACACCCACCACCACACACCCAACAAAGAAATGGACCGAACCAAACAAGCAGTTCAAACCTACATACAGCAAACAACAAATACTAAAATACAGAAATACAGGGAGGACAGAAATCAAACATAAGTGCTACGCATATTTATCCGGAAGACCTGCACAGGAAAGTACAAGCAGTAAACATCCCAAGCCAGCAATTCGTGATCGGACACTGGATCATCAGTATATTCATAAATGTCAGGCATGTACTCCGGTACGTCATTAACAAAAGCCCGTGCCTGTGGCACCAAGACAGTAGTTGAGCACCATGGGAGAGGACGCACCCGCTCATCCACAACGATTTTCAAGGACTGAGTGCTACTGATCACTTTCCTGACGCCGAGATCACATTGCGGGGGCCCGCACGAGGGAGCCTTCCACCAGGAGGTGCACCGGGGCACGCACTGGGTAGCACACCGGTACATGCAAAAGGTTCCACACCGAGAGACGCACAGGGGGGAAGCCGCAGGCGCGCCAGGACCCCTCCACCAGGCACAGGAGCAGAGGCCTCCCGGCACACATCCTTCATCAACACTATGACGAGGTTGATTCCAGGCCTCGCCACTGGAGGGGGCAGTCGTCGCCACTCGCGTTCCCAGTGGATGTTTGGCGCTGCATGGGGGTGGTTTGGTGTTGGTAGCATGGTCCGCCCACTGACCGGCGTGTCAGCTGGCGGCATGGCGGCGGCTGAGAGTAGGCTGCTTCGCCATGTAGATACTGTGGGGCTTGCTTTCTCAGCTCCTGTGGACTGGCCTCTCGTAGCAGTCGCGTTAGAGGACGTTTTGAATGTGAAGGTCGCCGATCTTCTAGGCCTGGAGAAACTTGCGTCTATGCGTATGGCGGTGGAATTTGCCACGTCAGCCGGCTACCTGGATTTTGTGCGCCGTTACAATGATGAGTCTTTTACGCTGCCAGATTCTGCTGTGACTGTGCAGGTGACGGATCCATGGGGCCCGCTGACTTTTGTGAGTGTGCACGGTGTGCCGGTGGATTTCCCAGAGCAGGAACTGCGTTCCGAGTTTGCCAGGTTTGGTTTGGACGCATCGATTCAACTTTTTACGTTTTGGGAGGCTGCATTGGCTCTGTCTTGGAGTGCTAACGCTTGGCATGCGACTCACCGTCGACATTTCTTCCCGGGTTTCCATCTGCAGGCTATCCATGAGAATATTCTATCAGGGCCAGTCGCGCACCTGTTTCAGGTGTGGTAAAGAGGGCCACGTTGCGACCAGGTGCAGCATGCCTCGCACGATGGAGCCTTCTGTATTTCATGCGGCTGATTTTCCTTCCTTGCGCTCACGTAGTGCTTGGCTGGTGGATCCTCGCTCTGTACGTGAGGGGGTGGTGGTGTGTGCGGCACCGCCCTCGCAGCCTACCCCTTCGCCTCCGAAGGATTCTTCACCTGTGATCGCTCCTGCTCCTCTGCCTATCCTGCTATCATCGAGGGATCCCTCCCCTATGCGGGCCCCTTCCTTGTCATCAGTTGCACCTGTTGTCTCTCCGACTCCGGTCTCTGCAGTGGATAGAGGCCTTATCCCCCATGTTGATGAGGATGCCCTTCTGCGCAGTAGTGCGCTCCCGGATGTGGGGCGGGCTGCCGCTGGCTCTTCTCGGGTGCCTCCTGTGGGGTCGATAGTTCTGATGACCTCAGACCTGTTCCAAAGCATTCCCGGACGGACCGGGTTGTGTCGCCTCGTCGTGCGTGGGCAGATGAGTGTGCAGACATGGTTGAGGTTGCAGTGGCGGGCTCTGAGTTGCCTCCTGTGTCAAGCCCTTCGCCTTCCACTGTTGGCTCCCCTCCATGGGAGGCTGCCCCTGGTGCCCGAGACCTCGTCGTGATATTGAAGAAGGATTGGCATCGGGGGGCCTCTGCTCCTGTTCCTGGGAGAGGGGGCCCCGGTGCATCTGCGGATCCCCCCTGTGCGCAGCCCTGTGAGCCGCCTCGTGCGTTTTCTGGTGCGCTTTCCGATGCTCGGCCCCCTCGGGAGGTGCCCCTCCCACTCTTCTCGCCCGCCGAGGAAGTGTTAGATGAGTCTAATTCTTTGTTGGTCAGTTATGATGTCCGGGTGCGTCCTATCCCGTGTGACCCTGCTGCCATTTGGGTTCCGCGGGTGAAGAAATTTTTTAGTGGGGGGCCGGATTTCATGATTCGGCCGTGTGCATCTCCTGGGCGTCCGGTATCTGATGTTCAAATGGCAGTTTGGGAGGCTTATTGCCTGCGCTTTCTGGTGCAGGAGTACCCGGATAAATATGTGTGGTCCTTAGGGTTGGTGGTGTTTCTGTGCTTCTGTCTTTCTGCCTGGGTGTGTGTGACTGGCTGTGTTTGTGCCTGCGTTTGTGTGCGCGTAGGTGTTTATTCCTGGCTCCTGCGTGTGCCTGTTAGGTGCTGTTTTGTTACTGTGTTTTTTCACGTTTCGTACTGTGTTTTTGCCTCTGTGCTTGGGGTTTGCGTGGCCTCATGTTTTATGTACCAATATGTGCCTGTGTTTGGGTTGTTGGGCTGGTTGTGGTTGTTAGTTTTTTGTATTTTTGCTCTTCATTGCTATGGGTGTGGCTGTATTTTATGTTATTTGTTATTTATTTCTTGTGTTATTTTTGTGTTCTCCGTTTGTTATGTATCCAGTGTCCGTTTCGGGGTTTCCTGTTTTGTTTCATGATTCCTTCACTTTTGGGGTTTACGTATGTTTGGTCTGTTTTTCATGTGTTCATGGTGTTTTCCCTTGTTATGTTTTCCCTGTATGTTTCCCCTGAATGTCTTCATGTATTGTTATTGTGCCTTTTACTGTTTTGTACTTGGGATCTTTTATAAATAAAAAAAAAAAAATGACGAGGTCTCTATCACTAGGGGCAGCCGCCCACGGAAAGGAGCGCAGGGGCCGATTCAGCCACACGATCCACGGAGGCAGAGCTTACAGAGGAAACAACAGCACACTCCTTATCCTCACATTCCTCAGCCCAGTCTCGAGGTGGCGATACACTGCAATCCGTGCGTGAACGCTTCGAGACCGGTCAATGTCCGTTGGAACTGTCACCCCCCACAGGAGGCACCCGAGAAGAGCCGGAGGTAGGCTGCCTCATAGCTGGCCGAGCACGACCCTGTAGTATTTCAGCTTCAACAACACGAAGGAGGAGGTAGCTGAAGGGACCAGCACAGGCGAGGGAGCATGCGGAGAGGCATGTACCTGCAGAGGAGAAGAAGCATGGAGAGGCGAGGAATCCTGCGGCAGTGAAGACGCCAACCGCGGGGGCGGGGCCCCACACACCACCACCACCCCGTCATGCACACCACCTTCTGGACGCTCCGGCACACCAGCTGAGAAACCAGGTAACACCATCAGGTCAGCAGGCGGCAGGAGAACCTCCCCACCCACACCATCACTAGGCGACAGGTCCTGTGCCACCAATGGGGAAAAATCCTCTTCTCGAAATAAATTAACAGGTGCAGCTGCGGCCCCAGTGCAAGTGGCAGCCTGGTGGCCCTCTAGGCCACAACGAAAACATTGTCGTGGCCGCTCTGCATAAAAGGCTGCATAATGTACCCCATCAAGGTAACCGTAGAGGAAATAGGAGACTTGAGCCACATGGTGAGAGTCTGAGTCCCACATGAAACCCCGCGCCACCTGCCTGTAGAGGCGGAGTTTATTCGGAGGGAAACCCCTGTTCCAAACTGTCCAAAATACCTCCGGAGCAGGGCCTCCGAGAACTCGAAAGGCACACTATGCAGCGCCATATATGTCACAGCGCAACAGCGGTCCGAAATAGTGACGGTACCATTGTCTCCAGGGAGCGTAAATGTCCGCCCATTATAGCTAGACACGAAGTCCCGATAAACTGCCGCCGAGCGAAACTTCACAAGTGCCCGGTGGGTCGTTAACAACTGAAGTCTGCACACCTCAGCCACACAAACTCATAGCACAATCAACAACACCATCTCAAGTGCAGGGTACAATGCATGACCAGAATATTCAAGACCAATGGTCTCGGTCCAGGGAAAAGGGGGTAGGGGGGTCCCCATGTCGCCGACACGCCAAACAACCCCCTCCCACACTCAGCACCAGGGAACGACTGCGGAGCTCAAGATTCCACGTCTACCTCCTCCAGTAACGGGCTAGCCAATTCACCGGAAACTTGAAAACGTCCATAGAGCTGGCAAGCAGGGGATGGAAGAACGGGGCGAGGCTGCAAAAATCTTGAGCAAGGATCCGGGGATGAGGTGAAGAGGGAAGATGAAAGATCGGTGGCCCAACCACCGCGGATTTGAACTTGATCAGATGGAAGTTGAATTGAGTAGGGTGTCATTTGCAGTACACACAGGGGCCGGGAACGCAAGCAGCTGGCAGTGGAGGTTTGATGTCAGATGTTGATGTTAAGTCAGTTCGTTAGTAGTCTTCTTCCTTGTTGATTTCACCAAACTTTGATCGTTGGTCTTCTTTTTGGGCTTGTCGGTCTTGGTGGTCACGTTTCGTGTTGATGCTTGGAAGTGATCTTTCCTTGAGGGTGATGGTGTTCCAACAGATACGTCTTCATCCGATTCATCAGATGAGTGAAGAGCAAGGGTGTTGACACGCTGGGGTAGAGTTCTTGAAGGTTGAGTACTTGAAGGTTGATGTCTTGAAGGTTGAGTTCTTGGAGGTTGAGTAGCAGTGGTAGGTACTGCAGCAGAAGGGGGCTGCATAGTAGGTACCCTCTATAGGGTCACACCAAGGGTCGATTGCAGCGGAATTCGTCACTGAGACGGGTGAAGGGACAGCAGCAGCTGGAGAAACGTATGGAGCAGGAGCCGACAGTATGTCTGAAAGCGTGGCCGCGTTCACAGTGATGTCATGGTTAGTAACTGGAACTGTTGCAGGAGTGGGGGTCACAGGAGGCAGAGTCTTGTGAGCTGTGGGTACCCGAACAGGATCTGAAGTCTGCATTGCAGTGGCGGAATCGTCGTCGTCGGATGTAGAGTCGGCATCCTCTACAGGGTCAGTTGTTGGAGTTGAACCTGGAGCGTTGAAGACTTCTTCAGGAATAATGAAGGTAGGGAGACCATTCGCCTTGTAAAGAATTTTCAAAAGCCTCACAAATTCTCGGGGGTTATTGCCAGCAGTCATTCTGGCTGTTGATATCAAAGCTTTTACTGTGCTCTGCCCAATCAGCTTTGTCTTTGGTTGGGCGGGTTGGGATGGAGGCGGCGGTGTCTGGCTCGATGAGTGGCTGGGTGACTGGGAACTAGGTCCCCATTGGCTAGTAGAGACAATACCAGGATGGTGTGCAGTGGCGATAGTTCCTCCTCCCTGCCAGCCAATCCACCATGTGAATAGTTAGTGTTTATGAATTTAATTTGCAAACATAAATATCTAATGGATATTTATTGTTATTTTTGGAATTGTTTTTCGATTAGCGCTGATTGACTATTCCAACTAGTTTTTTTATATACCACAGGTGGGTACAGGAACAGACGTCTGATGAGTCATGTTAGCAGGCTGAGAGCCGTCGCCTCCCGGAGCTTATGGTAAGTCTTACCCACTATGAGTAGTTTTCCCTGGAATACCACCCGCCAATCATTTAACAACTAGGTACACAGTGAGAGTCGACTGCTAGCGGCCGTGGAGTGAGGACGTTTACCGACCCTCCGTGGCTGTTGGAGATGTTTGCCATTTGGTCGCCAGGTGGTGGGGCGTCACTGCCCTCCCAGTGTTGTTGCCTGCCTGGCTGCGTGCTGACGTGGCCGTTTTGACATGGGGGGCCTCGCAATTCCTCCTGTTTTGCAGGTGAATTCCGTGGGACTAGAATTCTCGTGCAAGGCTGGTTATCCGGCCATTGAGTTGGTGATGTGCGACATGCTTCGTGTCCCGGTGGAGGCTGTATATGGAGTTGAGCTTGTTACGGCCCACCGGGTGATTGTCAAGTTCGTGCGGGAGGAGGAATATCGGGACTTCCTCCGGCGGAACGAAGGGCGTTCGTTGCAGTTGCCGGATGGCGCCGACTCCGTTACGGTCTCGGACCGAAGTGGTGCCCTGACATATGTCAGTGTGCATGGTGCGCCCCTGGAGTTCCCTGAAGACCTTCTCCGGCGCTTCTTCGGAAGGTATGGTGCTGTCATCAGTGTGCGGGTGAACACGCTTTCCTCGGGGAAGTATGCTGGGAAGCAGACGAACGTCCGTACCTTAGGTATGCACCTGCGGTCGGATATCCCATCTTCTGTCCGGCTGCTGGGTTACTACGTTCGGGTGTATTATGCCCGGCAGCCCCGTACTTGTTTCCAGTGTGGCCAGTTAGGGCATCAGGCTGCTGGGTGCTCTGAGGAACCTGCTGCACCTGTTAACTTGTTTCGGGAAGAGGATTTCCCGCAGGACGGGCGTTGGTTCGCCCGGTTCGTGAGGCCCGTGGTTCTGGGTCCGCCTCCGGTTGTGAGGATGTGCCGCCAGTGCCCAAGCGTTCCAGGCGTTCTTCTACTGCATGGGCTAACGTGGAGGACTACGACGCAGGTGGAGCTTCGGGAGATGATGTGGCGATTCCGGGTGCTTCGCGCTCTACGTCGCTGGTGGTGGCTGATGTCCATGTGTCTGCTGTTGACGATGGTTGTGCGTCTGATTTACCTCCTGTTCTTTCTCCTGCAGAAGGTTCTACGCAGTGGGAGGTGGTTGCTCCTACGGACGTGGGTGGTGTGGGTTCTGGTGCGAGCCGAGGCATCAAGCTGGTGCTGAAGAAGGATGCCAAGCGTGGGGGTCCCAGCAGGTACAACGTTCGGTAGTTGACGCGGGGCCCTGTGAGGCAGCCGAGGAGGCTCCCAGTGCGCTGCCCATTGCCCGGCCTCATGGGAAGGAGCCTCTCCCTATCATCTTGGCCTCCGGAGTGGCGCATGATGATGAGCATCCTTTGCGGTTTGACATTGTGGACCGCGTGTGTCCTGTTCCGTGGTGCCCTTCTTACATCTGGGTTCGGTGGGCTCGGTGTTTTATTGTGGGTGTGCCGGAGTTAATGCCTGATCCTCGTACGGTTCATAATGATCCTGTTGCGGAGGACGTCATGTTACTTTGGGAGGCGTATTGTATTCGATTCCCGGTGGCGGAGTGGCCGGATAAGTATGAGAAATTTTAGTAGTCTGTGTGCTTGCTGTGTGTTTGGTGTGTGCTTGGTCCTGTGGTTTGCTGAAATGTGTTGTACCTATTGTGCGCCCTTCAGGCCGGTGCATGTATGTTGTGGTGTTTGTGCCTGTTTTGTTTTCAGGTGTGCGTGTTATGCTTGTTTATTATTATTGTTTATTTTGGCCTCGCCCTTTGTTTATGGGGCGGATGGCTTGGTGTGTGTTTTTTATTCCTGTATTGTTTGTGCTGTGCGTTTGACCTGGTGTTTTTATATTGCTTTACCTGTTGTACGTGTTTGTTCTTTATGTTTTGTTTGAAATGTATTGTGTTTGTCTTGTTCTGTTTCCTGCTATGCCTCTTGATGTATATTTTGTTTTTCTGGAGGTTTTGTTTTGTGATGTTACTGTGATTGCTAGTTTGCCATTGAATTATGTTTTGTGCTTTGATGTATGCAGTATTTTTCTGTTTTTCTCGTGTATGTGTTTTGTTGTGCTATGCTGTCGGCCCTTCAGGCCGGTGGTCTATTGTTTTCCTTTGTTATGTATTCTGTATTGTTTTTATTGTATTTAAATTGCATGCTTTGCATGTAAAAATAAAAATAAAAAAAAAAAGGTACACAGTGCTGGGTGAACAGAGGAGTACAGTTTAGGATTGGCGCCTAATCAATTCTCCCCGGCCACGATGCAAAACTTTGTTCTATTTGTTAATAATACCTTGCAAGAATCAACTATTTATTTTTCAGACATATTTATAAGTACGTGACTCGTCAGCCAGCCACAACTGTCTTAGCCCATGAACTGTGCTGGCAACATTACGTGCAAGAACTGTGCTGTCAACTTTGCATGCAAGAAGTGTGCTGTGAACATTGACTGAGCTGCTCTGGGTACTGTACTAGCCAATCACGGTTATATTGCAAGTCGGTGGTAAATGGGTGAATCTGAAGGAGCGGTAAAAAACCTGTCCTGGCCTTGTCTACGAGACAAACACCGTACTGGTACTCGATCGAGGTCGCAACCCACGACAGTGTGGTTGACTCACACAATCACGACGTTCCCCAGTGTGTGGAAAATTCCACTTATCATGTTAATATTATTATTATCTAGGGAATGTATCATTCCATATCATATCTTGTGATATAACTTTATCATAATAATCAGTTTAAATAATTAAAAATAATCATTATATAATCATTACCGGCACCTCCACTGTGGAGGGGACGCCACCAGCAAACACCGGTGGCCAGAATGTGGAGAACCTGGCGGCCTCGTGTTTACATCCAGGAGTGCACTCATGAGATGGGATGGAGACTCGTTTTTTCAGCAAGATATTTACCCACAAAATATTGATAATCTTCAGTGATAACTCCCTGAATACTGGAAGACAGTTTGCACCGTATAAAGGAACGAATTCCTGGTTGCCGTCCTCTCCAATTCTGCTGGGCATCTTTTCCTTTTCCTTCTGTTTCGTTTTTCTCCCCCCTCTTCTCCTATCTGCTTGCCGTTTCCTGCCGACCTTTTGCTCGTTCTGGTTCTTCCCTTGGACTTCTTCTATTTTGACGCCCGGGTGCTTGAGGAGGCATACTCTTGCACCCGTAGAACTGCGGTACCCGACGTCGAGAGCGAGGGGAACCTTTTATTGTCAATCCCCACTTCGTCACTGAACCCGATCTCGACGGACTGTCGGTTTCTTAAGGTGGCGTTTGTGGGGCGTATACTCACGACGCACCCCTAGGAGGCCCCGACAAGATCGGCGATAGCTTCTTGTTGGGTGTCCTGCCTCTAATTGTGGCTCCATGGTGGGTGTGGGGGCACATTCGTGAGTGAATTCGTAATTTCGTCAAGATGATAACCCCTGTTTCGGCTGTTTCTGGCTTACCTTTTCAGGCTCGTGGGGTGGGCGACCAAGCCCCCGAGTCGGTCCGTATTGGAAGACCGGGCTCTGTAGCCTCCGCTGCATTGGGCCCCGACCTTGCTCCTCCTTTGGCCTCTCTGACTCCTTCCCCTGGCTCCCCTCCCTCCTCTGTGGTTGGGTCGAGCCCCAAGCCCCCAGTGGTGACTACCTCGTCCCCTGGCGCGGCTCCTTCTCTAGTTGTTACTACTGCGCCTTTTAACCCCTCTCTCTCTGGGGGTTCTCACCGCCGTTCTCGTCACGGCCGCCCTCGCTCGATTCCTTCCAGTTCTGCTACCTATCAAGCCTTGTTTGGTCCCGCTTCGTGGGCCAAATATTTTGATCTCCTCCCTCTTGATTCTGCGCCTCCTGACGATTTCTCCCTTCATCGACATCTCATTGATTCCGTGGATGCCTCCATTACTTTTAACCCCACTCGTCTCGGTACGCGTGTCGTTGCTGCTCCTTCTCAGGATGCTGCTTCCCGCTTGGCTGCCTTATCCTGCCTTGGCGAGACCCCCGTTCGGGTCTCGAAGAACGTCCAGTTGAATGCCAGTGTTGGCACTATTTTGCTCCCGCCCCATGTTGCGACCGGTGTTCGGGACCTACGCGACTGCCACGACGATATTCGACATATCCTCGCTGCCCAGGGCCATTCTATTCTCCAGGTGGACACGTTTACTCGTCCCCCTCGTGGTAGTCGCCGTCAACCCCTCCGGGTTGTGAAGATTACCTTTGATGGTAGGACCCTTCCACCCTCTGTCATTCTTGCTGGTGCCAGGTGCTCTGTCCAGGAGTACATTCCTTCTCCTCGGCTCTGCAACAAGTGCTGGAGGTTTGGGCATGGTGCCCTCCGCTGCTCCGGGACTGTCTCTCTCTGTCCTTTGTGTGGTGGTGAAGGTCACTCTAAGTCGGAGTGCGCTTCTCCCCAGGCTCGTTGCCTCAACTGCGGTGAGGCCCATCCTACCTTCTCCCGTGCGTGTGTCCATTACAAGCTTGAGGCAGCCGTCCTCAACTTGAAGCACCGGGAGCGTTTATCTTTTCCTGAGGCGAGGCGCCAGGTTCGCCGGCTCCCGCCTTATGCTAATATCTCTTATGCTCGCGTGTTGCGCTCTTCCTCTCCTCGTCCTTCCCGC